CCAAAGCCAACCATAATGTTATGTCATTTTTTTTGTAATAAAATGCTAATAGATTTGTGACACTTTTGTGTAGAATACTTCTCCCATGATAAATTACATATTGTGAAATTATGTTTCATTCTATTTTTAGTCATGTATATTTTGTATGTGATGTTTGTCACCATGCCAAACAAATAAAGCTGTTTTTTACACACAAAGATTCTTATGCTATTCAATCATTTGTTTTATTATAGTTGACATGTCTAGATTGTGTGTCACACTTTTTATGTATGAACATAAATATTTTTCTAACAATATTGAATGATCACACTCAATTTGTTTAGGTTATTCTCATGTGTTATAAGATAGAAATACAAAACTATTTAAAAGATTTTGTCACTTATGTTAAAAAAACATTTTGATACAAAGGTTTAAATCATCCATAGTGATAACAATGCATAATTTATCATGTGTCAATTTTATGCATCAAAATGCATCAACAGATTTCCTATGTTGAGACATCTCAACAAAATGACATTGTTGAATAAACATCAACATCGTTTAAATGTTACACGTGCATCACTTTTTTAATCTCATTTGCCTTCCGTTTTTTGGTTATTTTTTATATCACATGTTGCACATCTCAATTGTTTGCCAACTCCTTTCTTCTTTCTTTAAGTGTTTAGTTGTCCATGTTACATAGGTACTTTAATTGCCTATAAAAATAAATTTAATCCTCATAGTGTCCTTTGCATTTTTCTTAGCTTTAAGCTTAAAACTAAAAGTGTGTCACTTTCAATCTCCATACTTAAGCCATAAAGATTTCTTGAGCCATAAAGATTTCTCGTGATGTGATTTTTTATGAAGATTATTTTCCATACTTGAATTTCCAATTTGCAAAGGATTAAGTTTTTTCCTCCATCACATCAATGATTTTATCATTTGAGGATAATTCTTCTCAACTTATACTAGAGGTGTGTGATCAACCATCACATCCTACAATTCAACACTTATACCTATCTCATGTTTTATTCATGTTGCCCTAAACACAAATGGCAAAAACTCACTCATTATAATGATTTTCATACTATTTTCACATTGGTTGACACTACTCATTCTTTAAGTACTTGTTATCCTTTATTTTTAGTTATTTCATGTGATAAACTCTCCTCATCCAACTGTAGCTTTGTCTTGTCTATCACATCCATCACAAAACCTAAATCCTATGTTGAGGCTTCTAAACATGATTATTGGCTTAAAGCCATGCAAAAGGAGATTATTGCATTAGAAACGATTCATACATGAGTTTTGACCAATCTTTTTCATCACAAGATTGCCATTAGATGTTGTAGGGTGTATAAAATAAAGTATCATGCACATGGTACTATTGAACATTATAAAGCTCATTTGGTGACTAAAGGTTACACAAAGTTAGATAGACTTAATTATGTGGATACATTTTTTCTTCTTGTTAAAATAATCACTATCCATTTATTGTTGTTATGAATAATTGACACGTTAAATAAATAAATATTTGTACTGTCCGTACCGCGAAGCCGAGCTCCAAGATCGGCATCACAGCACAAGATGAGGTCGGGCACGCGCTACGCGACGTCAGCTCGACATTTAAGCAGATCATAACTGATCTCGAGGGATCTCGCTTCAGACGAGATCTACTACCTAATCTTATCATATCTTATCTCAGGCCCAAGGCCCAAAGCAACCCTAATTCACACTAAGGTACGTGCATTACTTATACGAGATTCATACTCTCACAAACACTAACTTTAGCATCGGAGTCTCTTTTGCAAGTACCACCCCCATCTTGGAGCATCAACGTACCAGTGAAGGAGGCTCACCGATCTTACCTGGCGGATCAGCTCTACAGCAGATTTCCGGTAAGAACATTTGACGCCCACCGTGGGGCCGATCAAGACAGCTCTTATCGGCCACGCTTATGATATTCACCAGAAGTCATAGCAGACGCGCAACAGACGACACAAACCACTCAAATACCATGGACAACGAAGCCACATTGAGGAGACTGATCGACCAGGTCGAACAGATGCAACAGCAACACGACGCCGATCTGCGAAACATGCGTGCCCAGCACGAAACCGACCTAGTTGCGATGCGGACCGCCAATGAAGCAGATCTAGCGGCGCTACGCGCTGAAAACGAGCGGATTCGCGCCCAGCTCCCTCGGCGCCCCTCTGATCATCCTCCTGAGGCGAGCAACCTCCACGAGGAAGAAGGGCACTCGGTCTCTCAGCCCCGAACTGCGACTAGGGCACCGACTCCACGACCTGCCACGCATCGGTCTCATGTTCCGACGAACAAATCGGTCCATGAAGTCAGCAAAGCCCCGACTCATGTCACAGGGGGTCAAGCAACCTTCCGCCGTCATCCCTTTGTGGACGGCATCATGGAGACACCACTCCCTCAAGGGTGGAAGCCTCTCCACCTCGATCGCTATGATGGCACGACGGACCCTGATGAGCACGTTGACCTGTATGCGACCCAGGTAAACCTCTACACTAACAATGATGCTATCTTGTGTAGGGTTTTTCCGACCTCGCTCAAAGGGGCCGCACTCAACTGGTATACCCAGCTACTTGCCGAGTCAATTGACAACTTCGACACTCTGGTCAGACGATTCACGGCGCAGTATGCAACGAGTCGACCTCACCTCGTAACGTCGGCTGCTCTGGCCAGCCTCAGATAGGGCGACGAATAACCACTACGGGCGTTCATGGAACGTTTTGCTGGCATCTCTGTGAAGATTCACAACTTGAATCCCGAGGTCGCCTTACACGCCATGCTCGTGACACTCAAGCCGGGACCGTTCGTCGACAGCCTGTGCCGAGAAGCCCCTCGAGACATGGATGAGCTTCGTGCTCGTGCTACCGGCTACATCCAGATGGAGGAGCATGCCGAGTTCTGCAAGGCAATTCGCGACAAACCACAAGGAAAGCAAGACCAAGGTCAGGCCACGAACATTTAAAGTTGGCGACCTTGTTTAGCGATTACGAGGAGAAGCAAGAACAGACCCCTCCAAAGGAAAATTTGGAATCTGGAATTCCACCCACCTCAAATTTTATTTCTCTTAACTTGTAAATTCAGGTGATGTACTCTTTTTCCTCCTCGGCCTTTTTTTCCCACTAAAGAAAAGGGTTTTTGGCCAAGGAAGGTTTTAACGAGGCACACCTTAGAAATAAAGCAACAAAGCAACTCCATTCCCATACATTTTCGGTATTGGCACATTAACCATGACGACTTGCCAAGGTCGAGTCCGAACCTTGAGACTACATTTTCTTAACCAAGGTCGAGTTCGAACCTTGATATGCCAAGGTCGAGCTCGAACCTTCAAACAACAAATTTGGGAGCTCCTCAGAAGCCCCTTCGCTCTTACATCACTCGGTGCTCGGGGGGCAAGTGTACTGGCCAGCCAAGTTGTCGACTTGTCCCTCACCAATCTATTGACTCAATCAAAGGTTTACCAGCTTGACCAAGCAGTAAACTCATCATTGCCGAGTTCCTCAGCTCGGCCATGAAACATGGACATCGGAATACCACATCGACCCAAAGAGGCCACATCATCAAACAGATAAAAATACAATCTTGTTACCACGCCGCTTGCACGTTTTCGGAAAATGAACAGTTACGACACATGGCATCTCAACAGGAAGAAGTACGCGAAAGGTCACTTCCCCCCAGCGAGCTCGGTCTTAACTCCTCGACCTACGGTCTTCGGAGCTCGGGGGGCTAGTGTACTGTCCTTACTGCGAAGCCGAGCTCCGAGCTCGGCATCACAACACAAGATGAGGTCGGGCACGCGCTACGCGACGTCAACTCGGCATTTAAGTAGATCATAACTGATCTCGAGGGATCTCGCTTCAGACGAGATCCACTACCTAATTTTATCATATCTTATCTCAGGCCCAAGACCCAAAACAACCTTAATTCACACTAAGGTACGTGCATTACTTATACAAGATTCATACTCCCACAAACACTAACTTTAGCATCGGAGTCTCTTTTGCAGGTACCACTCCCATCTTGAAGCATCAACGTACCAGTGAAGGAGGCTCACCGATCTTACCTGACAGATCAGCTCTACAGCAGATTTCCGGTAAGAACAATATTGATAACATTTTTTTTACATAATGACCTTCATGAAGAGGTCCATGTGCAATTCCCATCGAGCCTTATTCCTTAAAAAACGGAACGAGTTTGCTATTTACAATAGGAGATATGCAGTAAGTTTGGTGTACATTTTATTTTACCACTATACCTCTATAATTACCTTAAAACTTACTTTCTAATTAATTATCGATCACTATCACTCAATTTTAAATAATTTTATCTTTTATTTTATTTTAAAGAAAATATATATATACACATAGTATCTGGTTTATACTAATCATAAATTCATGATAACCACAATTAATACCTATTGATACTTATTTTCTTTGAATTTGTGTTTATACAAATCAAAATATTCAAAAACTGAATGAGAATAAAAAAATCACGTTTATAATGAAAAAGTTGTAATTGTCAACTTAAAAAATAACAACCAAAATATTAAAAATCAACATGAAACATTGAATAAACACACTATTACACATTTTGCACTATTTTTTAAGTAAAACATTTAGGTCTTGTAACAAAATCAATAACATAGAAAAAGATAATATAAATACAAATATCATACAAACAAATACATAAAGGCTGATGTGACGTCAAAATTATAAAATATGAATAGAAAAAACTTATATAACCAAAACAATATAATGTATGAAGGAAGGTTAAACTCATAACCTGATTTGTTTGTAATAATTCGATTCTCACGAATGAAAAAAAAACAATATAATGTTTTCGAAGACGAATTTATTTGATACTGTTTAGATGTTGAAACATATAATTTTTTTTATTTATTCATATTATCTACCTCCATTTCTTCTAAAAAATGGTAAAACGGCATTCACAGTTTCATTTTCCATCCCTTATCCATTCTTCAGGCTTTTTGTATTTTTGTCCCTCACCTTACACTTACAGAGCTAAACATGATAGCATCTTCTATATACCCTTTAATCGGCTAATATTTACTCTTGTACCACATTGTTAAGCTTCGTAAATAAAATTCGACTTTAGGGGCACTTTTCTAAACCGCATTCTAAACTCCTTCCAACGCTATCTATCCATATCAGCTCAGAGTGTGAGAGCACCGAGCAACCACCATGGCCACCGCTCCTTCGCTTCTACACTCATCTGGGTCTTCATTTTTCGCTCAATTTCGCGCCTTTCCAATCCCTTCTTCTTCTTCTTCTTCACTGTTCCTTCGTGGAAATAGGCATGGGAGTGCAGTGGTGTCAGTGAAGGCCACTGCTTCTGGGGTTGTGTTGGTGGAGAAGTCTGAGGCAGAGAACGCCAATAGGCTCAAAACTGCTTACATTGAGAAAATTGTTCCCCTGCTCATGGAAGAGTTCTCTTACACTAACAAGCACCAGGTTTTGCGAGAATTTGTTATTTTTTCCAGTTTTGTGTAATGGGTGTTTGTTAAGATTGTTTTTAGCAGTGGAAGTTTGAATCTTTTTTAATTTTTTGTTGGTGGGGGCTCTAAGGGTTTGGTGTCATGTAGTGGGCGGAATGTGATGGGGGCGTGTTAAGGTGCTTTGAATTTTTGGGGTTTTACCGTGGATTTTTCTTTTTTTATATGTTTGGGTTGATGGTTTTTTCAACTTTGTTATTACAGGTGGGGAAATTGAGAAGGTAGGTTGATTTGGTTTCATGGGGTTTCACAGTGAAATTCAGTTATTTTTGGGTTTGATCAGGGGGGAGAGGGACTAATATTGTGTTTGCAAAGTTGACATCTTCTAGGTATAAAGTCATAATAGTTTAAATAAATGAGGAGCTATCCTTTATCCTTATCTTACAAGTTGGTTTAACAAGGTTGAATTAAACTCTTAATCTACTTTTTTTTAGATAGTATCAGAGCATATCTTATATCCTAACTAGTGTTGTTGGCCTTATCACGGACCTTTATGGGACTGCCCGCAAATGTTGATTACTGCAAAATTTACACTCAAGATTTCCAGACCTTGGTATAACAGAGGTTGTGTTGGAGACCCCACATTATCTCGGAATTAGGCTATAATGGTGTATATAAGTCAGGAGTATTTTTCACTTTACAAGTTGATTTTGTAAGATTGAGTCAAATTCTTAACCCACGAAAGAGACTCGAGTGGAAAAAAATTGAAATTTGAATTTAAGAGAAAATGAAAATAAAGAAAAATTGAAATTTTATTTCTATAAGAGTATATTTGTTTCACTGGTTAAAAACACGTTCATGATTCACTCTTACCAGACTAAAGAAAACACATTATTATCCACTTTTTCTTTCTTGTCTTCCGAACTTACCGTAAGTTCTGATGTCATATAGTGTGGGAGATGAAATGGAGGCATGATCATTTGGTTTTCCTTCAATTTTTGCAATGCTGGGTCTTATCTTCCTTCGTTTCAGGTGCCTAAAATTGAGAAAATTGTGGTTAACTGTGGTATTGGAGATGCTGCACAGAATTCAAAGGGTTTGGATGCAGCAATAAATGATCTAGCACTGATCACAGGGCAGAGACCTATTAAGACTCGGGCCAGGGCTTCTCTAGCCACCTTTAAGATCAGGGAAGGTCAACCGCTTGGGATTGCTGTGACATTAAGAGGAAATGTGAGCACTTAGAAGTATTCAATTGATATTTCATAATGAATATGGTTGACTTGTGTTAGGATATAGAATAAAGGGAATTAGAATAGTTATTAGTTAGAAAGATATCATGGGCTAGGCCCATCACATCTATAAATAGGAGAGAAATATCTCCTCCAAGGGTTTCCCCTTCACAAAGGATTTCTCCTTTCACAAAGAGCTAATGCTCAATTTACAAATGTGAACAAATCTCAATCCTCCCCTCTACCAAGTAACCTCCTATTTGTAGATGTGATGGGCCTAGCCCATGATATCTTTCTAACTAATAACTATTCTAATTCCCTTTATTCTATATCCTAACAACTTGATTGGCATGTGATGATGTACTATCGTTGTTTATTCTTTTTCTGAAACTTTGGAAGTAGTCAAGAGGGATCTTATGGTAAATAGCATCTCCAAAACTTTGGTCTTTAACAAAACTGCTTGATGTTGTGTGATTCATGTAGTCCATATCACCTAGTGGGAGAAACTGTTGTTGTTTATGTTTTTTTTTTATCATGACTCTAGATGTTTTCCTATTGTAGATATTTAGAACAATGTCAGTATCATGATGTTACTGGCTTCTGATAGTGAGCTGCTACAGTGCTGTTACATAGTTTTATTATTTTCCTGATAGTGTGGTTGTCTTGTTGGTATGATTAAACGTCTTGGTTTAAGGAACTTTGACTTGTGCTGATGCATTGCTGGGAGTCTACTCTGAAATATGATGCTACTTGCTACTGTTTTATAATGGAATATAATGAAATATGAGTAATGGAATATAGTTCGAATAGGATTTATATGATTATGAAAGGATTTTATTTGTTTACCAAGGCATATTCGTTTGATCTGGTAAGTTAGTATCAGTTCGGAACTTGGTAATGGATTCGTGGCAAACTTTAGAAGTTGAGAAGTTAAAAATATTTGGAAAATGTGAGGATTCCATACTGTGATTAAAAAGTAACCTACAACATAGTTGTGATTTAGGTTTGGAATGTATGCTTCATGTTGCATATTGGCATTATTCTCTGTTGACAGGATATATTATCTCCATCACAATTGATCATTGACTTGTAACAGAAAATGTTTACTTACAAAACATTATTCTCCACCAATTAGAACAGAAGGTAACGTAACATTACTCTCTTGTATCCTGAGTCACTGCTTTCACGGTGGATACTTCATACAGATAATATGGTAATAAAAACAAATGAACTTGGTACTTCAGAGTTCAGAATCCAAAAATGGAAGTAAATTTTGGTTTTCTTCTTTTGTTCTGTCTGTGTTTTAAGGTGTTCAAAATTGTTTTCTTTTGGATAGGGTATGCTAATTATTGTGTTGAATTTTCAATGTTAATTTGATAAAGAGTGCTCTCACCAGGAATTTACTGAATGAGACTATTTATGTAGTTTCTGTGATGTCAAAGGACTTGATGATATGTGATTTTGATGTCTGTTTGAACTTCTTTATTTAAAAATTGTAGGTACATTACAGTTCACCATTGAGTACCAAATTCTAATTTTAATACTCTAAATTGATGTATTCGATCCAGTACCGGTGGTGTTAAAACCACAAATGTTAAACCAAAACCTCGTGTTTTCATATAGCTGAAATCTGATAACTATTGTTTGGTTTTTGGCAGATAATGTACTCATTCCTGGACCGAGTCATCAACTTAGGACTTCCTAGGACAAGAGATTTCCAAGGTCTGAACCCCAACAGCTTTGATGGGCATGGGAATTACAGCATTGGCATCAAGGACCAGGGTGTGTTCCCTGAGATCAGAGCCGATGTTATTGGTAAGCCTAGGGGAATGGACATCTGCATTGCGACGACGGCTAATACCGATCAAGAAGCGCAGAGATTATTGGCTCTCATGGGCATGCCTTTCAGAGAGGGAGGTGGTCCTGCTGCTGCCGCTGGTCGCAAAAAGAAGCTCAAGTCTCATCATTTTGATTCAAAATCAAAGGGAAGAGGAAGGAAGTGACAGTTTTGATGCAAAATTATAGGATGAAGGAAGTGAGGTCGGGACCAGAAGAGACTGTGTTTGTATACCTTGTTTCATTCAGATGTAATATTATTGATTCTTTTTTGTAAGAGGCATGGATATGCCATGCCATGAACTATGTCATTAAAAGGTTTTGTTGTTTGTGGTCTTGCAGATCCTGGTTGCTAATTGATTTCCATTTGTTTGCTTGTTATTTGGTTCAGTAGACAATTGTTTTATTGGCGTGTTTGGTTCTCTTTTTGAAAAGTTCCAAGGTCAAGGTGACACGGATTGAGGATTCTAAACACTTGAGTTATTTCTATTCATTAGTCTACAATTTGCAAAATTCCACTCGAATCTGAATTCAAATATCAAAGTCAACATTCTTAAATACACACTATTTAATAAGGAAAGAACATACTCCAAAATTATCAATTAATTAATAATTATTACCTATGTTCCTATACATAAGACTCAGTTATCTAATTAACAAAATTAAAAAAAAAATTAATTTAATTGATAATAATAAATTTATCTTATTCATATAATTTTGTTTAATTAATAATTATATATCTTCTAATTAATTAGAGTGTAGATTCTATATTATTTCTCTCTTTAAATTGATATTCGTATTTCTTTCAACTAATTAGAATGCATATTTTTAAAAGGTTTATAATTAATGCAATTTATCAAATTAAGAGAACATTCTTTATTTAAGAATATTTTAGTCTAAAAATTATTATTAGATGTCACAATATAAATTAAATTTTATATAAAGAAATAAATAATTATTTTTAAATTGGATCTTATAAATAAGAATGCAGGTAATATCTTATTTATGTTTTTCTAAAATAATTATAAAAATTAATAAATTTATTGTTCATGATAATTTATGATTTTATACTATTATTATATTTAAATTATTTTTTAATGAAATTTTCCAATAGTTAAAAAATCCAAAATAGTCTAAGACGTGTTTCACTTTTTTCATTTTTGATTAAATTAATCATATAATTTTTAAAAAAAAAATTAAAACACTACAATATTAATTAAAATAAGATATAAAATAAAAAATTTTATTAGCATAAGTTGTTTGACATTTGTATTCTCATGCTTGAAAAAAGAGTTTAATTATCATCGCAAATGTAAAATCAGAACAAGAAGTATCAATTGATTAAACTAGTTCAACAAGAAATTAATCAATTATATAAGTAAGTATAAAGAGAACCGTGAGCTGTTGGATAAAAAATGTAATAAGATTAACAGTGTGTTTGGATTTGCGTTAGAGCAAGTTAACGCACGTATTTGAATGAAAAAACGTGATTCCTCTTTTTAAATAGATGTTTGATTTTCTCTTCTTTACATAATTTTAAGTGTGAAAATCAATTTTGTTTGAAACTAATAAAAATAGCTTCTACGTTTGGAAAATTGATTTTGATAAATCAATTCTTAAAACGCAAGCCGAAAAACACACTAATTACCAAATTTTGAGTTGCGTCCCAAACATTGGGACCTAGGGGGTTTCCATTCGAAGCACCTATATATAAAACCCACTGATCTCTTTCTCTTTCTGATTTCTCACTCTTTCTTTCGTTTCTTGTTCTTCACATCAGCGTCTGTGTCCGCCATGGCGTTCCCCTACATGGAAGCTGTTGTCGGTGAGCTCTTTCTTCTCTCTCTATTGCCCCTATTGCATTTTTCCCTCTCTCTCTCCTCAAAATCATTTCTTTCAGCTATTGGGTCATCTAATTGTAAAGAAAGTCTCTTTCTTTTTCTTATTTTCATTTCCTAGTAATCTGGGTTTCTCATTACTTAGCTAGTTTCTGGGTTCATCGGGAAATTTGACCCTTTTATTGGATTCTCGCGATGCAATTGAAAGGGACGTGGTTATTCATTTGAGGATTTTGAGCCCCCTCTCTTTCTCTCGCTCTAGCATTGCCATTGAACAACTTGCATTTGTGTTCCTTTTTTTTATGTAGTTTTTTTTTTATAAATAAAATCCCTTTGGTTGCTGAACACCAGAGCAGGGAAGATAAGAATAATGTTAATAGAGTGAGTTGTAATAACTTGGGAAGAAAAAACCCAAGAATGAATTGACAGTGGTCATGGATGTGTTGTGTCCTGATGCGGTTGCAGCATCTAAGGTTTCACTGGTTGGAAATCGCACTTTGCATTTTAACTACAGCTATTTGGTTGTATGTAGAGCAGATAACTGGAAACAAACTATAGAATTAAAAAAACATGATTGTTTATATACCTATACAGTGTGTCTTAGGGCATTTAAGCTAGGTTCAATAGTTGCTTGTTCTTGCATTGATTCTTCACTGGGATGTTTATTAAAACATAGCTGGCTGGATGGATGTAGGAACATGTTTGGCAGTGCTTCATGACGTTATGCAGCTCTTTTCTTGTGGAAACTTTTTTTATGTTATTGAAATAGTAAACTGTTGTAACTAAGTGCACAGATTAAATCAGGGAGAAAAACACTGACATGAAACTGAATGTGGTTTGATCTATATAATAGCAAATTTATGCTTAACAAAAGTTAAACCGATAAAATGTATATTACAATGAGTAGCTGCTCAAATCTGAAACCCAAATCTTGATGCATCTTAATACTACCTGTTGCTGTGATTCACTAGACCCTACAACCAATTGGTCTAGTCCCTTCACTTACACCACCATTCCCTGGGATTTTATTTTTGTTTTCTCAATTGGTTTGACCAATTTTGACTTTTCAATATTATTTTTCATGAACTGATCTGGTTGTATTCCACTGCTTAGCCCTTGAAAATTTGAAAATAAAAACTAGGATTTAACTATTCCATGTTTTCTTCTGATCTAATTTCAGGGTTTATGATATTAATGTACATATTTGAAACTTACTTGGATGTGCGGCAACATGTGGCCCTCAAACTTCCTACTCTTCCAAAGACTTTAGAAGGAGTTATCAGCCAAGAGAAATTTGAGAAATCTAGATCCTATAGTCTTGATAAAAGGTTTGTTTTTTTTATGCATGTGAACCTTTTTCATTGGATAAGGTTGCTTTTGGCAATATTTCCATAATTTTGTATTTCTATTATTGTGTCTTATTAGCATTCTTACTTACGCATGATTTTTTTTTTTTGGGTACTTTGTTCAGCCACTTCCATTTTGTTCATGAGTTTGTGACAATAGTGACAGATTCTACAATTTTGTACTTTGGGGTATTGCCCTGGTTTTGGAAGGTGAGAATTTAGCGTGGTGTTTATGCAGTATGAAGCTTTCTTTGCCATTGTAAAATTGCTATTTGATATCTATTGATTGCAGAAATCAGGAGATTTTGTGACAATTGCCGGTCTAAATGCAGAGAATGAAATACTGCACACCCTTGCTTTTCTAGCTGGTTTGATGATTTGGTCACAGGTGTGTTTTTGACATTTTATTATTGCTGGAAAATAGAGTGGTTTTAGAGCTTATTTATTCATAATTGAGACCACTAGTACCAGTTTTACTCCATATTCAACTTCACCGGGATCAACTTGGTTGCTTTGATATTTATAATTCTTTCTCCTTTTGATATCCTGTTCTGAAGTGTTACTTTTTGGAATAATGTTTTCATTATTATATTTTGGGTTTTGGAAGATCAACATATGCTAGCTTTTTGGTGCTTTGGATAACTGTGCATTTGTATTATTATCATTATCATCTACATTTTAATAAAATCTATTGGGCACTTCTACCCTTTGTGCAGATAACTGATTTGCCCTTTTCTCTGTACTCAACTTTTGTGATTGAGGCCCGTCATGGTTTTAATAAGGTTCATGTTCTTCCTTCAAATTCTATCATCTATCTATTTTTCATCCACATTTTTAGTCCACAGCTTGAGTTTGAGTTGACATCTCATTTTTTCTAATATTGATATAAATTTTTCTGTTGCAAAATTCATATATGTTTGTATACTTACATTTTTATCATCTATTGTGCAGCAAACACCATGGTTATTCTTTAGGGACATGATTAAAGGAATTTTCCTGTCTGTAATAATTGGTCCACCTATTGTGGCCGCAATCATTGTAATAGTACAGGTAAAATCTTCTGCTATTTAAGATAACCATAACTTAAAAACTTAGCTTGATATTTGGATTTTCTATCTGTTCTTGATTTAGATTTATTTTTCATTGATATTTACTACCTTATGTTATATGTTCTTACTTTCATTTTGTTTGTCATGATGGATGGATGGAGTCCGTATTTTCTATTTTAATGTTCATTTGAATTTTTACAGAAAGGAGGTCCATACTTGGCCATCTATCTTTGGGCATTTACGTTTGGTCTTTCTATTCTGATGATGACTATTTATCCTGTACTAATAGCTCCACTCTTCAACAAGTTCACTCCAGTAAGAATTTCTATACTTGCTATATTTTAGTGTAAATATATATATTCATCTTATTTATTTTAAATTTGGGATAATTACATTGAACTCTTCTAAGGTTAGCACTAGTTATACTTGGACTCTTAGGTTGGGTATGGGGCTGGAAAAAGGAGGTTTTGGGAATGTCAAGTTGGTGGAGGTGGGTGCTGGCAGTGATGGTGAGGGGAAGAGCATTTAGAGATTGGCTTTGATGTTGATAAGGCCGTTTTGGTTTTGCACAAGCATCTGAGAGGAAGGGCATGATAGTCTTTTGCTTTGTGCTTTTAATTTTGAAAAATACCAGAAAATAACTAAAATTCAAGTGTTTGTTTTGTGCCATTAATGCTTTTAACAGACCAATAACTGCAGGGTTAAATCTGTAATCACAATTAACTAATTGATGGAGTTGGGTGTAATTGTAATTGGTGCAAATTGAAAGGGACATCAGTGTAATTTTTCCTTTTTTTGAGTTGCATTTTAATTCTTTATCTTTGTGCTCATATGATATTCTGGTAACTAGCTTTCAGATGGTCAACTCAGGGAGAAAATCGAGAAACTTGCTTCCTCCCTCAACTTTCCATTAAGGAAACTGTTTGTTGTCGATGGATCCACAAGATCAAGTCACAGTAATGTAAGGAATATTGAAATACAACATGGCTTTGCTATGATGCATATTTACTTAATCTCAAATAGATCAAATTTATTTTACATTTTTCATTGCTCTCCATCCTTTGAGATCTAGCAACTCTTATTTTTGTCTGCATGCATGTTGAGGATTCAACTTCATTGTTTTGTCAATCACTGTGACAATGTGATATTTTATGTAATGATAAACCTTAAGAA